ATCCCGGTCCTCCCAGAAGCAGAGACACAGTAGAACAGCAGATAAGGGGTCCGCGGAGAAGTTTGAGAAACAGAAAGAATACGAAATTTTTCGTCAGCAACCATCAATTTTTTCATGGTCGCGCTGGTATGAGAACAGACTGTTCAAAAAGTTATAAAAGTGAACTGGTGAAGTCACCAAACGAAAAAAGGTGGATGTGAATTCTAGAACTGCTTTGTGTCTGAGGAATATGAGGTAGACACATTTGATATGTGAAATAGGGATAACTGTCAATCTTTTACGAATGTGACGACATTGACAGTGAATGGAACAATAAATTTTTTTACGATGGTGCGATTGACATTTAAGAAGTGCACCTACCAAGCGTTGTTTGTGGTTGAAAACACACAAAAAAAGGCGGCGGTGGATGTAACTAGTGTAGGCCTAGTTACTGGTCACGATTGTTAAGAACGCAATAGTGCAGGTGTTGGACTGATAAGCCAACTGATAACGATCATAAAGCCACGGCGTATTTTGGGAAGGATACGACAAGCGCTGTCAACTTTGACACGACTTGGCTGATGAAACAGTGCAGGTGTTTTATTAATCGGACTGTATGACAGAAGCGGCGTAATTAACATTCTGATGCAACGATTAGAATCGATTACGATTACGATTACGATTACGATTACGATTACGAATCCGATTACGAATACGAAGGGATATATAGGAAGGCGACGGCTGAGATGAGGAGGAGAGATCAGTCAGTCAGTAGGAGAGCGGCAGTATCAAGTTGGTTATTGAACGGGTTAGCCGTATTATGTTAATAAGGACGATAGACATGTGCATTCAGTTATGTGAAGACTAGTGAGGACTGTTGGGGGTCAGTTGATTCCGACTATTATTGTGAAGCATTTCTTTTGATTCATTATATTATTGTGAAACATTTCTTTGATTCATGTAATAAAAGGATCAATAGTGAACCTGCATCTTCGAGTATCTATACTGTGGTCGATGTTGTGTAGAATGAGTGGTTAGACTCGTTAACATTTGGCACTTCAGGCAAATAGACTCGTTACATATATATATATATATATATATATATATATATATATATATATATATATATATATATATATATATATATATATATATATATATATATATATATATATATATATATATATATATATATATATATATATATATATATATATATATATATATATATATATATATATATATATATATATATATAACGTAGTTTTCATATACCACAATAGACCAACATTACCTCCGTTTACCCAATGGAGATGATTGTGTCACAATCACAAGAACAGAAACCAAGATGGCAGCGAGAACTGTAAGTTGGTACATATTCATGGTGAAATTTACTGTGGGCCAAAATCAAAATCAATCTGATAAGTTATTTAAAAAATTCAGTAAAATACAGTCTCGAACCTGGCGATCCATTAAAAAGATGCAGTAAAGTCCTCGTGCGGTAAGGACACTTGACACTTTTGTGGGAAGAAAGGGGGGACCGGACTAAATTGTCCGGGGGGGAGGGGTGGGGAGACACTGGTAAAAGTATTAATTTTTTATATAAATTTGAGGTAGAGGTGCTTCGGTGTGGGTTGGGGGGAAGTACCCCACATCAAAGCGATGCCTGAAATAAACGCTGACTCCAGTATAACAAACGTTTTCAGACTTTTAAGTTAATACATATGTAGAGTTTCTTTTCTATCTCATAACCACGTTATGGGATAGAATATGCGCCCGTGAGGGGTGTTGGGCTACAACTATTCACGCCTTCACAATGCCATGCATAAGTTGTTTAACTACAGCGTGGCTTTGGCCCGGCTGTTGACAAACCACCTAAAGTCATACGCCCTTTGGTCAAACCACTTTTGATCAAACTCCGAGGACCCTTTAAAATGTACATAAGGTTTCAAATTTTATTGGGGAGACTTACACATAATATAAATGAGTACGGGTGTTGTTCTTTTTTTAATTACATCCCGAGGGGATGGGAAACATTTTATTACACTTTCTTTTAGATTGTTTGTTTTTTTTCAACTGATTTTCAGATTGTTTTTTTTTTCTGTGTGCATAAATTGAAAGAAAAGACTTACCCTGTATTTCCTCCTTTTAAGTCAATGCAAAGCTTTACGAATTTTTCTTTGGGAGATGTAACCAATTAGGCTACCTGTCGCCACGCACTCTGTTGCTCTTGCTTCTCCTTTATGAAAGTAACTTAAAGCTGACGTGCAAGCCAAACCCTAGCCACGTCCCACTACTGAGCCTCTTTAGCCATAAATTCGACACGTCTATATATTAAATGTATGTACATCTAATTTAGTAGTCATAATTGCACGTGTCGTGTGCACACACATACGCATTGATTAGGTCATATGCGGGTGATAAGTATCAAATCAGCCAACATGCTTATTTGTGAACCTATTTTATCATATTTTACATTTAGTTTGAACTCAAAGAGTTAACCCAAAAATTAAAACAAAAATGGCCGAAAAATATCATGCCGTTCCCATGGTGATAGCGGCCATCTTGAATATTTTTTTACTTTTTTACATTGAAATAACTTTTTTAGTTATTATTAAAATTGACCACATTTTCTCTAGTTATTCTGTATACATATTCCAATAAAACTGATAGAACAATGTTTTGAAAATTAATCTGGTTTTTCTTTTACAGTTAAAATTTGGTGGTTTTTTCGCACAAATTTAAATGTTTAAAAAGTGGTTTTCAGAAATTTTTTTGTAAATTTGAGAATTTATTCTATCAGAATTGTTACCCAACACGTGCCTCTATAAACCTACATTTTATATTGAGTTTTGTTTAAACCATTTTTGAGTTATTTCGATTTTAAGAAGGTAAATATATACCAAGATGGCCGTCATCATCATTTCAACGCCATGAATTTTTCCGCCATTTTTCAATTTTTAAGCTTAACCCTTTGAGTTATAACTATATGCTAAATATGATAGCACTAGGTTTAGAAATAAGCATGTTGGCTAGTTTGGTCTGATTATCCGCCCATGCCCTTAATTTACCCTCTTGGGAGCGTACATATTTACAGATTTTTAATTAAATACTGCAAGGGGATTTAACTAGATTTAGTTAGGTTTACTAGTTGAAAAGCACTTCTAACTGTACAATGGTTCAAAGATACAATTATGGAATGTGATAATGATTAAGTCACGTTTCAATAAAAGGTGCAATAACATCGTAATTATTGTTGCATAAATAATAGGATTTATCGTGTCTTGCAGTTTGTAGACAAAATTTCAATTTGTGTTTGAATTTTTTTTAGAATGATAATGCTTACTCATCTAATATTTCTAAAACCTTAATTAAAAATAAATAAATATACAAACTTCTCGCTTTTTGTAGTATAGAGATAATCAGCAATAGACTACATAAAATATTCGGTGATTAATTTCTTAAATCAATCTTAGATACAGTTTACTTTTTAAAAAAGTATCAACCGACTTAGTTGTTTTTATTTTTAATTTCTCTGTGGAATTTTCTTGTTCAATTTTTTACTTTGTTGCTGATTCAGCCAACTCTCTTGCAGATCTTTTCTTCCTACCACTTGAAATATGAAAAAATAACTAATGTTATGATGCCCAAAAAAATGGAGAAGCAAACTTTATGTCTGGGAGGCTAATAAAATAATCTTAAAAGTCACGAGGTTTAATATTTCTTCAAATTTCGAATCGGTTAAATTTTCTAAAACCAGCAGTAGTTGGAATTTTAGATCGGGTTGGTGTTTATTACAAGACATAATCATGGAGAGTACACAAAATACGTTGTTTGCAGAAACGTTATATCACCTAGTGTGCTTTCAGAAACATTATATCACCTACGTATAACAAGTGTGCTACAGTTTTTTGTTAGACAAGACATAGATCTATTTATTTTACCACTTGTCAACCGCTTCTAAAATGTCCATTGTAATAAATGTTTTATACAAGGCGCCATAGTGTCTGGATAGATTTGGGCCAGTTTGGTAGTCTGAGGGAAGGGAAATACAAATGACCACAAAGGATTTTTGTAAACGACTACCATAGTTTCTAAATAGTCGTTTCAAAAAATGATCAACGTGAATATAAAAAAAATCATGGACAGCAACAAACCACGTCGTAATGGACGTAAATGTTGTAAAATACTTTGCAACAAATTTAATAGAGACCAACAAAATTTTAGGAATGCACTCTGAATTACCTATAAGCTGATCAAGATATAGCTTAGACCCTCGCTTTCTCGGGGGGGGGGGAAGTATTTTTTAAAACTGGTGGGCATGTAGTCGCCAAATTTCTTTTTCTTTTGACATTTATTGATAACTAGACGTCGGTACCAGTTTCACGTGAATTATAGACCTATTTATTTTTACTGTTATGCTTATTTGGAAAAAAGTAATTTATAAAATAGTTATTGATCAAAACGCTATGTGCTTTACTACACGTTGAACGAGATTAATGACATAGCAAAGAAATAACTAAATAGCTAAAAATCCGACACATTTAAAATAACATAGGCTACCAATGCCTATTAGAAAAATTAAAACCAAATTATATAGGTTACTAGTCAACACAATACCGTATTGAATTCACTCACTGATTAAGAGATTTAATGATTCCTTTAAAAACCTGGCTGTTCAATGGTCATTATGTTGTTTTTTTAAAAAGTAATTTGTAATAGGCTGAGCGTGAAAATTGTACACATTTCATGTCGTTAGTCTTGATAAGTAGATTTATCAAATCTAAATCTAAATTTGAATGAAATAGTTAATTTCTCCATATTCTAAAATTGGACTCAAGTTATCCTGTTCACAGACACACATCCACACAGACACACACAGACATACGGACAAAATAGCAAAGAAGTCCCCAATACTCAGTATATGATGGTGAAAACTGTCAAAATTTCACATGATTTCTGTGTACGATTACAATACTTCCTCTGTACTCTGTATACCAGAAACTAAAAACAAAAATATATCAGTTTTAAATGTTTTTATTTTAAACAGAACCTTTTTGTGTAAAAATTTGTTTGAATCATAGACCGATGTGCAAATATTTTAGTTAAGCTATTTATAAACGATTTACATTATATTTAGTAATTCATTCCCAAAAAACATAATCGTAGATTCTGTTATCTTTATAAATTTCATCCGATGAAGTTGTTTTTGTTGTTGATTTCTCTTTGGAATTTTTCTGCTAAAGTGTTTTTTACGCTGGCGCTGATTTCAACAAATTTCTTGCAGATCTTTTCTTTTTGCCACTGGAAATTTAAGAAAAAAACGAATGCCAAAAAAGTAGTTGGTAGAAATATTTTTTTTATCCAATACTTAAAATAGAAAAAATGTAAAAGTTCAGAATGAGTTACTGTCGATAAAGATTTTAATAAAGTTAACAAGAAACAGAAGTAGCTTAAGAATTGGATCAAAACATCTTGTGGAAAAAGCAGCTAAGTATTTTACTGAAAGATTTTACCACCATCGTGTGATCAACTTTTTATAGCTTATGTTGAACAATTTTTTCTTATAAATTGTTCGCTATTTAGCAAACGTTAAAAATTTACATTGTAAATAATTTTATTATCTTTATAAAGACACCTTTAACTTCTGCCATGGTGTTGGCTGGATTGGGTGTTGTGGATAGAGGTGGAGGAGGGGGAGGGGGAAAGGCGGAGGAGTTTAAGCGGCCAATGGACTTCAAAGTGAAAGATGCAAATTACAAAGTTAATAAGTGTGTTTGTGAAAATGAATACTGCCGTTTGTAAAAATACTCAACGTCAGCATCAAAATTCTATTACATTTTCTTTTAATGTCAAAATTATAGGGAAACCTAGAAAAAAACTTTGGCGTTGGACTATCATAATGTGGATGTTAATGTTGTGAAATACTTTGCAGCAAAAATTTTTAACATCACCCCCAACAAAATAAATAAATAAATAAAATAAAATAGAATTACTTTAAGAATTAATTAAATGACTATAAACATAAAATTTATCAAACCTTTAAATTACTTTAAGAATGAATTAACTGAATGCGAACATAAAAGAGTTATCGAAACTTAAATTTACTTAAGAATAAATGAAATAACTGTCAATATAACAGAGTTATAACAAAGTTATCAAACTTTAAAAATACTTTAAGAATGAATGAAATGAATGTAAACATGACAGTTATCAAACCTTAAAACTACTTTAAGAATGAATAAAATGACTGACAACATAACAGAGTTATCGAACCTTAAAACTACTTTAAGAATGAATGAAATGAATGTAAACAAACCTTAGAAGCGGATCGACGACCCCACAGGCAAACTTTCGACACCGTCGGGGCGGCATCCATCCTGCGAGTGCTATCCAGGCCATGAACTCTGCCAGTCTCACGTCTGCTGATTGCCGCTTCTGTACAGGGCTTGAGAAAATTAACAGACAACAGAATGAGAAGTTCCATTTTTTAAAGGCTACTTAAGTACATGTGTATTTAAAAAAAATAATTGTGTAATGTATTCCCACCGTCACTAAATGGATACATACATTGGTAATTGTGGTCTAACATTTTGGTCTAACATTTTGGTCTAGCATTTTGGCCTAACACTTATGCTTGGGTCTAAATTTAATACTAGGGTCTAGTGGATGTTTAAGTTTCGAGTGACCCGGACGCCGAGTAAAAAAAAAACAATTTTTTTTGGGGGGAGGGGGGGGGGGGCAAAATGGTGTGGAAAATATTTAAAAGCTAATTGTTATCTGTCAACTTTTAATGCTTAATTCTATACCAATGAATTTAAGAGAACATGATTCTACATGGCCACAGACCGATTTATATGTTTTCCAAATAGATTGTAGTTGCACTCTAACATTGAAAATAGCAGTAAAGGGAAACAATCGTTTAAAAAGGGAACTCCTATTAAGATGTAACGAAAATGTAAAAATAAAATAAAACATACTTGCAATTATAAAAGGATTTCTAGCTAAATATGTGTTAGAAATGTAATGCGTGGCAAGATCTATAAAACAAATTGATTTTTAATTTTTTTTAGCATAGGTCACTAACATATGTAAATGTTTTCATGAGCGACCAATGCTTTTAAATAAAGAACAAGATTGTTTTAAAGATTATCTGTGCATTTTAGATTATTTCTGCACAAATTTGTGGCTTAAGTTATGACAAGACTAAGAAAACTCAGAAAAACAATACAATGTCTGATACGGGTTTAGGTTTGGGTGTAATTAGTGCCATTTGGGCTTTTATTGGTATTATTTTACCAATAATACTTCATTTCGTGATGGCTAAATCTCCAAATCGAGGCATTGTACAGATCTGTCTCATACTGACTGCAGCATGCTGTTTTATTTTTTGGATTGTGACATACATTGCACAGCTCAACCCTCTGATTGGACCACAGTTAAAACTAGGGGTGATAAAAATGATGCTTTTGGAGTGGTAACTGAGGCACTGAAAGAATCACCTCAATCAATCAATGTGATAAATTTAATGGATTGGCTTAAAATAATCAAGATGTTTCATGTTATATAATTTATATAATAGTTTTAAACCCTTTTTTTTTTGTAAATTTCTGCCCAAAAAGTCTTGTGCACCATCAATGGAAATTTTGCTGATGCATTTGTTTCATGTATCTTACTTCAGTTTTTATAAAAACAAATAGGCCTACCTACACAAATTTGAGGGCAATGGTTAAATAAGTTGTAATAGTTTTTTATTATGTATTTGTTAATATAATGTTAGTCTGTATGTTAACAGATTGCATTTAGTTCCCATGTGTTTCAACTGATCTGAATGAAACTTTGACACTTAAAAAACGAATGATTTTAGCTGTTGTGGTTGTCATACTTTTTGTCTTAAAGTTAAATTTAAGAGTTATTACTCTGAAATGTTTTGTTAGCTGAAAATCTGGCTTTTTATTTCATCATTGTGTAAATTTGTAAGGTTTTGATTATTTGCTAAAGAATAGAAAAATCACTGTTTAGACCTACTGTATATACTATTAGTTCTATGTTATCTCTCTCTCAATCATTAAAAATTACATTATCTTTTAAAAGGGCAACATGACACTTGTGTATACAGACAGTTTATAATTCTTTGAAAGCTTCCTACTATTTGATTTGAACTATAAATCTACTTCATGAAGTGGTAGAAGTAATGTACTTCAATTTTAAATAAGACATGCTTTTTTTAGTGGATCTAGTTACTTAATCACAGGATTCATGTAGTTGAATATATTATAGGCTGTGTATTTTCCAGCAAAAATATACTTTAAAAAAAAATATTTTCCCTTTACTCAGATTTAGGGTGTTCGTATGGTTTATATTTGATCCCTGATAGCATTGTCATTATATCAATGGATCTTTATCATTCTGTAGATTTAGCAAAGTTATTGTCATTCAAAACATGTACATATGTTACTAATTTTGTCTTCATAGAACATTCTGTAATATACTTTTATTTATCAGACCAGTAAATAATAAATCTTAAAATTAAAAAAAAACAAAAAAAAAAAAAAAAAAAAAAAGTTATTATTCCACTTTATAAAAATCCATTATATTTTTAAAAAAAAACAAAATTAAAATCCATTCCTAGTTAGCCGATGATGAAAACTTTAATACTAAAGCGAACATGCAAGATAAACTGACGCTGTAAATTACATATTTGAGGCAAAAAGAAAAAAAAATATGATTCCTTCTTAATGAACAATTTCATAGGAAATAGAATGTTACGTTTGGTCTACACTTAACCCTGAGATACCTATCTAAGGGATTTTAATATTAATTAAAATAGATCAATATTTTAAAGTACTATATGGAGAAGGTAGCGTCATGTGTTCTAAATTAGAGCAGACACATTTCCTTGGACTGTTTCTCGATGTTTCTTTTGACCTCCCGCGTTGTTTCTTACCCTGCGACGTTCATCTAAAATTTACGCAGAAAAAAAAATCAACTTCTTATCCCTGTCTTCACTATATATACATGAGGAACAATCAATATGTTTTCTACGTAACATTTTCAATTCCCCTTTCTTTAACTGCTTGGACAATGCTATATTTGCCTTATCGCAACTAGTGGTATATAAAACAAACACTACACCTATATAACAATATAGAAAAAAATTACCTGGTTTTGTCTAAAGGCGATGACTGTGTCAGAATTACAAGAAGAAAAGCGAAGATGGCGGCAAGTTGTAGAAACTTATACTGGTTCATGATGAATTCACTGTAGACAAGAATAAACCATATGTTTCGTATGTAATATATATATAAAACAACCTGGCCATTTATTTTAAAGGTTGATCTAATAAATGCAACACAATTTTATTAAAAATTTGAATATGCAATAAGTTAGATTTGATCACTAGTATTTTGTTGTGATGCGCCTTTTGAAAACATTGAGATTAGCACCAGTGGTACGGTGACGGATTTATTTTAGGAACACAATACCACTGACATAAATGCAATTGACAATAGTGCCACTAATATTAGTACCAATAAAAAAAATTAAACTGACATTAGGGCACTGACAACCGACATTTATGAAATCCTTAAAGAAATCAGCATCAAATCTTTCAAAGTTTACAAGATAAAAACGTATTGCTTAAAATAAATAACTTATAGCGAAAGCGAAAACAAAGAAATAACTACCTCACTCTACGAGTAAATCGTTCTGAAAAGCATGGGCATTAAAAAAAAGAACATTCCTTTAACTATATTAAATCCCACTATTTCTATCACTGAAACGAAAAGCGAGGGTCAGTATACTGAGTAGTGAGTAAAATAGAAACGTGTCGGCCCATATGTAAATATAAATACAGACCTCCAGCTATTATATTTACAGTCCTAAAAAGTATTAACGTGGATAGCAAAGAAATCTATTTACTAAAATTTTATAAGCAATTTTAATTTATAGCTATACAAATAGTGGTGCGTTATTAAATTTTAAGATTTTTTTTTATTTTCTTTATTATAGTGCATATTTGAACACTTTTTATTGTAAACCGTTTTAAATATTATTTTTCTTTACATTTTGTTCTAAAAAACGCTTGACAAAATCACTTCCTTCGACTGACACGGAATATATATGCTAACCACTCAAAACTTTTAGTAATTTGGTAATAATAAACAGCTTTGTAATTATTTTACAAATTAAACATAACTAATTATCTCAAAGTTTTTGTCACACATAACGTTTTCATCTAAACCTTAACTTCTTATCCAGATTTTAGAAAAGGTTCTGTAAAAGATGGTAAAATTGTGAATGCTGTTTCTCCAAAGTGGCTTGTAATTATTTTAAAAAATAAGCTTAATTATCTAACGTTTTCATCTAAACTTGAACTTCTTGTCCAGATTTTAAAAAAGGTTCTGTAAAAGATGGTAAAATTGTGAATGCATTTTCTCCAAAGTAGCTTGTAATTATTAAAGAAAAGCTTAATTATCTAACGTTTTCATCTAAACTTGAACTTCTTGTCCAGTTTTTAAAAAAACTTTGTGAAAGATGATAAAATTATGTATACAGTGTCTTTAAGGCGGACAGACGGAGCTGATATGCTAAATAACAAAAAATGTTAAATAAAAACTTGTAAAAAATAAACAACATTACCTTTTTCACTTAGGAAACTAACACAATGATAAATGCTAATCAGATTGTTTTATTTTGTTCACACGTAATTATTCACAAAGCCACCATCTATGTTCACATTCACGTGAACACAACTAGCATCGATACTTCGATCGTGCTGTCTGTAATAGCCGAGATGTTCGTTGTTCTGAATCTGATGAATGAAACTTACCAGGCCAAAGTTTTATATCAGGCTGCTAATGTGATATGCTCAATCTCCTACATCCAAAAGGTGGGTGGCACACCGTCAGCTCGAGAAAATAGTTATAAAATAATCGAGCTTAAATTATTTACCATTTCAAGAAACCAAGATTTTTTAAAAACATTGACCGATAACGATCTTTATTATAAAAAAACCGACACGAAAACTACATTTATTTAAAGCTGATATGGAGATTTTGTTATTTAAAAAAAAAAACGTTTATCGTCACCAATGTCACTGTGTGACATCTGGCATTTCTAATGACATGGCGGTGGGCGGTGACGATGGCGAAAGACGATTTCCGTTGGGGTTTGGAAGGGAGATAAGTCACTCACAGAACCGTGTCAGCCTGTCCAACCTGTTAACTAGAGGTTTGACCAGTAAACCTAGCCGATCTTAGTTAAATCGTTTTTATTTCTCCAAAATACTTCCATTAAAAATAAATAAATATGCCTGTTATAATGTATTATTTTTTTTAATTATGGGACTGAAGAAACCTGGTGCTTATTTAATATACTTCAAGTTTTTTTACTCTCTTATACCGGGATAATTCAGTCGACTTATTATCTTCAGCTAGGCGGATTAACCTGTGGTTGTCCCACTTGTTTCCACTTGAATGGTTACTTTTCTGCTTGAACATGGTATGCCAGAGTCTGCTCCCTCATATAAAGATTTAACACAAACGCACACAAACGCACATGTATATATATATATATATATATATATATATATATATATATATATATATATATATATATATATATATATATATATATATATATATATATATATATGTATATATATATATATATATATATATATATATATATATATATATATATATATATATATATATATAAAAGAGAGAGAGAGAGAGAGATGAGGAATCAGTTTGATTTCCTTTCTTTTTGAACGGTAATTTTCATGTTCCGAGGTGGTTGGACCATAGTGTGTTTGACCACAGCGGGGAATCGACTCATCTCCTTTTCAAACTCCAACGGAAATCTTATTACGCAATCGTAGCCGCCATGTCATCAGTAATGTCAAATAGTCAACCTTCTAAGGTCAAACCCCCCTATGGTAAAAGCACCTTTGGTCAAACTTCTATGGTCAAATCCCGTATGGTCAAAGCCCCGATGGTCAAACCCACTATGGTCAAAGCCCCGATGGTCAAACCTTCTATGGTCAAACCCCCTATGGTCAAACCTTTTATGGTCAAACCCCCTATGGTCAAACCTTCTATGGTCAAACCCCCTATGGTTACACCTTCTATGGTCAAACCCCCTATGGTCAAGCCATCTATGGTCAAACCCCCTATGGTCAAACCTTCTATGGTCAAACCCCCTATGGTCAAACCTTCTATGGTCAAACCCCCTATGGTCAAACCTTCTATGGTCAAACCCTCTATGGTCAAACCCCCTATGGTTAAACCTTCTATGGTCAAACCCTCTATGGTCAAACCCCCTATGGTCAAACCTTCTATGGTCAAACCTTCTATGGTTAAACCTTCTATGGTCAAACCCTCTATGGTCAAACCCCCTATGGTCAAACCTTCTATGGTTAAACCTTCTATGGTCAAACCCTCTATGGTCAAACCCCCTATGGTCAAACCTTCTATGGTCAAACCTTCTATGGTTAAACCTTCTATGGTCAAACCCTCTATGGTCAAACCCCCTATGGTCAAACCTTCTATAGTCAAACCTTCTATGGTTAAACCTTCTATGATCAAAGCCCCTATGGTAAAAGCACTCGTGGTCAAAGCCCCTATGGCCAAAGCACACGTGGTCAAACCTTCTATGGCGAACGCCCCTGTGGCCAAACCCCCATAGCCAAACCCCCTATGTCTAAAGCACCTTTGGTCAAATGTTCGCATACCATTTTTTTTGGCTGTTCCCGTGTGGACTCACAAGCATACAGTAAACTGATAGATACAAGAAGCAAAAATAGCCAACACAAAAAGACAAAAGACTTATACAGAGAGCCCTCAGATTTTAACGGACAGATGAATTACTTTAGTAAAATTTCATGTTAAAATATTTCTGTTCAATAATCAAAAGTAAATACAACCATGCGCATGACACCAGAAACGTAAATTTTAGTAGTTTTATGTCTAGTATACATTCATCAACAGAAACATTCATTTTATATGTTTTCATTTTTAATAAAGTAGTTACTTTTTGTAAAATTTGTATTAATTGTAAACCGTCTTGCACATATTTTAGTTCAGCTGGTTGTAATAAAGACGATAATGAAACATTCTGTGTTGAACTACTGAAAACATTATAATGGATGCAGTTAACTTTAAAAATCTCATCTTCTGTAGAGGTTTCTGCCTGTATTTTTTTCTGCGGGATTTTCATGGATTTCCTTGGTTCAGTTTTTAAGTTGGCGCTGATTCCATCATGTCTCCTGCAGATCTCTTCTTTCTACCACTGAAATGAATAAAAAAAAATGAATGCCAATGGCTAATAGACGCATGATTTGCTTATAACACTATTTGAATAGACATGGCAAAACAGTAACATCGGCAAAATAGGAATAGCTTTGTTAAAAATTAGATGGGATAATGATTAATATTACGCTAGCTAAAAGTCGTATTAGTGGGATTACACTCGGTTGGGGGGGGGGGGGGGAATGGGTGAGTATTTTGAGAATTTATGGTGATGGGGAGATTGTGATGTCACACTGTTTTATTTTTATAACAAGTCTTAAAAAAATAAAGTGAAAATAGTGGGTTTAGACAGTTTAGGGTAACACAGGTGGGGAAATACAGGTGGGGTAACACATGTGGGGTAACACAGTTGGGGTAATACAGTTGGGGAAATAAAATAAATTTGGGGTAATACAGTTTAGGGTAACACAGATGGGGGTAATACAGGTGGGTTTAAACACACGGTGTTCTGAAAATGTCTAATTGATTGCAACTCTCTATTATAGTGGCCCCCTTCCGGGTGCATAAAGACACAACCAAGTATTATTGAAGACTTAACCCCCCCCCCCCCCTATTGTTACGTCTTTATGCTTTAGAAAGCGCCAAGGCAATAACAATGCTTTTAATTTTAACTGACACGTTTTATTGTAGCATTTGTAATAATAAATACCACAAACTGAAAATTCCCAACATTAACATTGAAATATTGTTTTCACATTATAAAATATTAACTATAAACAAACATAATTCTATTAACATCCAGTGTTAATTTATGCATGTCTTTCAACTTCTTACACGACGATCGCCAATAATTGTAGTGAGAAAAAAACTTTTTAAAAAAACCAAGTTATCAAACCTTAATTCCGGATCCACTACCCCACAAGCAACTTTGAGACATCGTCTGTGTGTTCTCCCCTGGTTCAGTGCAATCTTGGCCATGAGTTCTGCCACTCTCATGTCTGCTGGTTGGCGCTTTTGTATTCTACTTGACAACATTTTTAAAAGTTAAAAAAAAGTTTCATCGACATTTGAATAAGAAGCCTTACTTTTGTCTCTGTTTTTTTTTTAAATATTATTTTTAGCGAATGTTAATCAGAAGACGACGTGGCCTAGCGGTAGAGCGCTAGACTGTTAAACTGAAAGTCTCTAGTTCGAATCAGGGTTTAAAAAATAGAACATCCCTGAATCCACCAAGCTCTTATGGGTATCCAACCACGTTAGGGAAACAAAGACGGTTGGGCATAGTGCTGACAACACTACCTCCTTCTATGCCGAGAGTGGAACAGATAAACTCTACTTCATCTACTCCATGTGTCTTGTACACAAACAGGGAAAAGATGATGATACTATCTTTCTGCATTTAAAAAAAAAAAAAGCTGTAAGGATTTTGAATAAAAATCATAACTACTAGTCTATTCCTGTGTTTACATTTCTTTAACACCAAGAAAAAATGTATGTTAGTGTAGTATTCAGTTGTACATAAACAGCGTCCTGTATCTAGTAGAAAGGAAGAAAGCAATGAAACGTAGGGATAGTCACATACAACTTTCATTAAAAGCTTAAAAAATATTATACATGACAGGTTTTGAATTCACAATAAACAAAATAAATAATTTACACGTTCTTAGTCGTCAACGCTTTTTTTCTGTTTTATGAATAGAGAGTGGGAGGGGCCGCTATAAAGCTATGATGACATTTTAACAGAGGTGTCCTTTCATGTGAAGACATGTGACGTACGAGCTATTATTGGGAGGACGTTGATAAGCTTAAATTGCTTGACGTCATTTGTGGGAGACATGTTTGTCATTACTCATCAAAGGTTACACTAATGAGGGTGGTATAGTGCATACTAGAAACAGGAAACACGATACGTTTAGTGTTAGCGGTGCGGGTGAATGCAGGTTTAGAGTTAGTGTTGGGGTATATGTTAGGCTTATAATGCTGTGCTAAAAGTGAAATGTAGCGTTAGTAAAGAAGATTATACCAGATTAAGATTTAGCCCTGGGTTGTATGCTGGTTTAGGGTTAGCGTTATGGTACACGAAAGGTTTAATGTTAGTACTGTGGAATGTGCTAGGGTTAGAGTTAGCACTTGGGTATATATTAGGTATAACGTAAATACTAGAGAATATACTCTGAATAGAGTTAGTGTGGGGGGGGGGGGGGGGTAGGCCTACATACACAGCTATGGGTTATATGCTGGCTTATGGTGAGTACTAGAAAAACATGCTGGGTTTAGAGTTAAGGTTAGAATACATGATAGGTATAGTATTTGTACTGTGGAATGCGCTATAAATAATTTCAAGACATCCGACGTTATTGTATTCGTAGTCCAATGTACATTTACAAAAAAAAACTGTTTTACATTCACCCTTTTTTACATAACACAGTAGAAAAAAAAATACCTTTGCTCATTCAAGGGGGATGACTCTGATAGACCCACAAGAAGTAAAGCAAATAACGCTGTAAAAAGCGAAACCTCGTATTGATTCATTGAGTTTTCTGTGGAAAAATAACAATAGTACTACTGTGACTGATATTGGTGCTAGAGATAACAAAGTCACAATAGATAAGCAGCATTGTAATATTTATCAATTATATATAAATTATATAAATTATATAATTATATTACTTATATAAATTATATAAATTATATAAATTATATAAATTATATAAATTATATAAATTATATAAACTAATAATATATACATTATATACATTATATACATTATATACATTATATACATTATATACATTATATACATTATATACATTATATACATTATATACATTATATACATTATATACATTATATACAATTATATAAATCATATACATTTCATAAGTTTTATATGCTTTATTTTATAAATTAAATAGACCTGAAAAGTCATGTGATGCCGCTACAAACTATTTTACAGCTCGACACATAATGCAGATTCTCTCCAGTAGCCAATCAGACAAACAAAAAAAAAAGACAAATAAATACTCAAACAAGTAAACAAACTTGAGTTTTAGTAGTATTTAGATGTCACTTCCAGAGGTGTATTTCGGCACTCGGGGTAATCTATAGATTTTGCCACCTCCCATATATATATATATATAAATTATATATATATATATATATATATATATATATATATATATATATATATATATATATATATATATATATATATGTGTGTGTGTGTATGTGTGTGTGTGTGTGTGTAGATGTGTGTGTGTGAGAGTGTGTGTGTAAAAGTCAGGGGCAGATATTTTGGTGTCACACAATTGAAGTAGAGAACAGTCAAAGAAGTCCGTAGTAGCATTTTATTTTCTTCACTTTGACTAAGTATAACTTAATAATGCAGTTCACCGCTTAGTATTTTTTTTCTACCCCGTTCGTCGCACCACTCCTTAGGTTACATTCGGAGCTACACCTAGCTACACAACTTAAACGTTTTACAAAAGTATTTATAAAATAACCGAGTTTCTTTGCTATGTATTTCGTCGTACTACACACTTCTGCAAATGCTTATCGCATGTGATATTTATTTCTAAAAAAGCAAATTCAAACGCTTTTTTCTTGTTATAGTTGCTTTGGAGATTATTTTTTAACCAAAAAAAAAAATATCTATATATATAATTCTCTTCTGGGAGCCGTTAGAAAACAAGCTGCAAGCGCCTCCTTGCAGTCCCCTCTCTTTCTCTATATCACTATCACTACCACCCCCACATTGTCTGGTGAGCTGTGGTCACGCTGTTTACATTTTACAATCATAGAGACGGGTTTTGTGACGGCTATTAGTGGCAGATAATTTAGTTTGAAATGATTTTAAACTTAGAGGAGGTAACTAAGAGGAGGCTGCTTTCACGTGGGGGGGGGGGTGGGTTAGTGTTTTTAAGCAAATATTTTCAGTGGCAGCATTGGTACTGTCGAATTCACAAATTATATATTACTGAAAAGTAGAAAAAAACAACTAAATAGCGGCGTATGAAACGCAGCGGGTCGGCTCGTACTCATTAAAACCACCGTGCGACATCTGGTAGCTACTGACGTCAAAACGATGAACGGAATCAACAGAAAAAGACAATTTCCGGTGAGGTCAGTCAGTATAGATTAGTCAGGCATGGAGCAGAGTTCGACAGATTACTTCGCTAATTCGGGCTTTCGTCACAAAACATTACGAATATCACATTCCCCTCCCCACTCCATTCACAACCAAAAGTGCCAACAGCGGGTTGTCTAAAGGAGGAAAAGTAACTAGGGTTATATTTTGACCCTCGCACCATTTGAAAACATATGTGTCTATTGTATTAGCTTCATATATGTATAATTGAGTTGTGATTATTAAGTTTTTTTTCCACCTTTATTATATATTAAAAAAAATATTCATTTTCTACGTTTTAGTGCATTATTACATAAAAGCTTGTTAATAAAACATTTTTATTTTATTTTTTTTCAGCACTTTAATATTTTTTTACAATAGAGTTGCATGAGTAAAACCCATTGCGCACCAAATTAACACGATAACGCGCGTTTAATAGTGCGGATAAGTCTGATAACACAGCCTACTAATTTGGACAACATTTTAATTAATTCATAAAAAAAAATTAACTAGGCATCCACTTAAGTCAAATTTAATGTCTGGTTGCATTGTATTTATGTTTTGACACACGTGCCAACTTTGAAAAGAATCTATCAGTTAGAAGTACCCGAAATTTCGCTCGGGCGTTTCAATCTAGACAGACTGACGACAGACAGACTGACGACAGACAGACTAAAGAAGAAAGTTAAATAAACGCTTGTAAAAATACAAATGAATGGTTGATAATTTCTCTAACCTGTGGAGCCTGGCCTATAGTGCTGGAGTATCGCAATGTTCATGTAAGTGTAGCGAGTTGTTGGCGGCTCAGCCAGCAATAAATTAGACGCAGCACTCCCCTATACGGCGAGACAACAAATAGTCCCCTTTCTTCCGTGACGGACGAGAGAACAAATAGTCTCATTTCGTGCGAAACGGACCAAAGAAAACAAAACACTTAAATCTGCTACACCACATTTTTTGTTTTTAATTATTATTTTTTTTTTTTTTGCTTTACCGCTTGTATATCATTTGGGTTAAACAAAAAATGTCTCTTCAAGAAAGCAAATTTTTGCTTTAGAATATAGAATAAAAAACAACAAATTTGATGTTACTTCTTTAAGCATACAGATCGTACGCTTTTCTCATGTGCGAGAGTAATTTGATGATGAGGGTATTAGACGATTAAGTATGATGATGACAATAATCAGTATGATAATGGTAATGAAGATGATGATGATGATTACAATAATGTTAATGGCGGATGATATATGGTGATAGATTATAATAATAATGATAATGATGATGATGACAATAAAGATGATGATAGTGATGATTATAATGATAATTATAATGGCGATGGTAGTAGTGGTGATGATGATGTTGATGAGATGATGAAAATGATGATCATGTTGATGAAACCTCACATTAAAAAAACCAATATTTGTGCTGGAGAACTTATGTTTCTTTTTCTACTTCTCTGCACCTTTCTCTCCTCCCAATGACAAGCACATACAAGCAACAAGGAAGAAAAAATAAGGTGGGAACTTGGGCTCGAGAAATGCCCTGGCTATAGAGCTTTGCCAGAGCGTGTTGATTTAAAGCTGGTAATATCGCTCGCCCATATATAGAAGACATTGTTCCTTAAATTGGACATAAAATGTAACCCTTGGAGTTGAAATAACACATTATGTCCATCTTCTTCTTCGTTCTTAATTTTTAGTGTTAGAAGGGATCGAGCCTTATCTGCCAGATGGTTTGAACTTGAGACGTTTTCGAATTTATCAACCATGAACTTTTGCCGACTCGACCATGCTTCCATCACAATTAAGGATACGTGTCAACTGGTTATGCACTATTGAGGCAATTGACTCCGATTTCAGCCTGCTTTTCTTCTTGGATTTGCTTCCATAGCCTTTGTCCAACCAAGAACAAACTACAAGGACAGCAGATGTTTGATTTTGGAGTTGTCTCTCCTAGAAGAGTGGCTGTCCCCAGCTAACGAGCCTCATCTGCCCGATGGTACGAACTCGAGACTTTTCGGTTTAGCAACCATGAGCTTTACCGACTCGACCACGCCGACCCACAATATTGATGTTTTAGTTGTAGTTTAGTTTATTGTATTAACCTCACTGCAGCTACCATTTGTATTTATGTTTTAGTTGGCCAACCTTTCAAACGACGATAAAAAATACGCGAGGACCAAGTTACTTCACATAACTGCGAATGAAAATTAAATTT